AAAAAAAAAAAAAAAAAACCTGGCATGAAAAATTCAGACTGCCCATTCTGGGGCTATGGGGCCACAAACAGGATGGTGTGTAATTGCACGTGGCCCATGATATGTCACACCTGCTGTTCACATTCTGTAGGATTTGCCCTGGACTTGATGTTCCCAGCTGATCAGGCAAGAAGTCTGGAATTAGAAGGGCAGCAGTATCTGGGACTCCATTGCCATGGTCAGTTCAGTTCTCATTGAGGTTCAGAAGCTGCCATTCTTTTATGAAGCAGTCTTGGATACATTGCGTTGATTCCTACCAAAGACTCATGAATGTAACAGTCCTTCAATACTTTTGGAGAATTTCCAGTTGACAGAGCTGATATCTTGGGCTCACTCTGAAACATTGAGCTTGAATGGGCCATAGATATTGTTAACCCCAAGAGTCCATCCTCATGTTGTACAGCATAACTTGCTCCATGGTTTATGTAGGATTTAACTGCAATAAGATAAATAGAATAAAACAAGACTGAACAAGATTTGTTCAAGTCTTAGACTGAGTATGAGTCAAAGCAGATGATTCTGCAGCTTCTCACCAGCAAGCAAGATTGAAATAGACAAAGAGGGACACCAGAATATACAAACTTCTGAATTATTGTAGAAAACCAAAAAAAAAAAAAGTTTTGAAAGAATTCCAACAACTGCTGTGTATGAAATCTGAGTTCTGCGTATATTGCAATCAGTGGTCAGATTCCTGCTCCTCTTTCTCCTGCCCAGTCTGTGTAAGCAGCTAAAGGAAAGTCTTTCTGGGGTGGGGTGGCCTGTTTCCATCTGTTTCATATTTTGGCAATGGATGATCTGATATCAGGCTATTTTCATTTCACCATGTAAGAACTAGGTCCCACAATAAACCCAAGTGGAAGATACTTAATGTATCAGGCCAACTCTGTGGCAGTGTATGGTGGCCATTACTGCATCTTTGAGTTGCTATCCAGTAGAGTTGTTTGGATTGGTAAAATATTTATTAATAACTAAATCCTGGAAGGGTTGTATTAGAATCATAGATTTGTTGTGAACAATTTGCAGTATGATGCTAATTTTTTTTTTCCATAACCATTTTGACCTTGATGACCCCATTAGAATATTTCCTATGGATATATCCAGAACATTTTCTGGTCTGGTTACCTGATACTGATTTCAGTTAATTCAGCCTGAGGAAGTACATAAGGTGTTGAAGTATTAATAGTTACTTCTATTAGAAATATTAATCTTCATCCATTTCAGCTAATTAAAAGATGTATAGCTTGGGGATGTTCCTAGATCCAGGTTTTTCATTAGAAATCCCAGTGACCTCAAAAGCAGTTATTTTTCCAGTTTTGGCACAGAGATGTCAAAATGATGCCAGCAGAGATTCATGCTTTGCCAATTGTATTAATATGGTATGTTATACACAGGACAGCTCTTGAAGAAAATTTGGAAGAAATGCCAAACTGGTTAATGTTACACCAAATAGAAAATGCCTAGATTTAAAGGAAATTGAGGGCTAATTCAAAATGCTTGTGCTTACATTGAATTCCTAAACAGTTTGGACCCTGCATACTTTCCTGTCATTGAAAATGGCTTGTTATGTTTTGTGTATTTGTAATCACAAATGAAGGGAATTACAGAAAGGCTAGTTGGAAAGGTAAACAAGAAAGAAGAAATCTGCAAATCAGAATAGACCCAGGACTTGAGAATGGCTCACTGTAAAGAATCATGGATAGAGCTTGGCACAAGTCAGAAGTAATGGATTTTCACCCAAAAGTACTGTGATTCCTTGGAACTAGGGGTGAGATTAAGTGGCTTCCCAAATTTCACAGCTGCATTTGATGGCCAAAGAAGAGCCATTTGTTCAACTCTTTGTGGCAGCAAATTTTGCTCTCTGGTTTGAAGGGACATCTTTCGCAGTGGGGCAGTAGGATCCTTCCTTCCTTCCTTCCTTCCTTCCTTCCTTCCTTCCTTCCTTCCTTCCTTCCCTCGTTCCTTCCTTCCTTCCCTCGTTCCTTCCTTCCTTCCCTCGTTCCTTCCTTCCTTCCCTCGTTCCTTCCTTCCTTCCCTCGTTCCTTCCTTCCTTCCCTCGTTCCTTCCTTCCTTCCCTCGTTCCTTCCTTCCTTCCCTCGTTCCTTCCTTCCTTCCCTCGTTCCTTCCTTCCTTCCCTCGTTCCTTCCTTCCTTCCCTCGTTCCTTCCTTCCTTCCCTCGTTCCTTCCTTCCTTCCCTCGTTCCTTCCTTCCTTCCCTCGTTCCTTCCTTCCTTCCCTCGTTCCTTCCTTCCTTCCTTCCTTCCTTCCTTCCTTCCTTCCTTCCTTCCTTCCCTTTTGCTCTATGCATAGGCACAGTCACTGTGAATTAACATTTTTTCCCCGGAAGGCCTCAGAATGATTCCCCCTCTGAAATAAACAGAATAGGTGGGTTGATGAGAGGGAGGATCTAGGGCTATCAGATTTGAGTTGCATAAATATGGGCAACTATTAGATGGTTTCTATGTGGTCATTAATCGTTGACAAGGACTTGATGGTGTATTATCAAAAAAATCAGATGGTAGACAAAATAGTACAAAAACTCAAATTCTTTGCTGCCATCTAGTGGCCAGTCAGATTTTTGAAGCCTAGATATCGTATGTCTATTCATTAAATATTCATGTGTTTCATGGTTGATAGTGTCTCATACTGGACTGTAACCAGCAACAAAATTTAGGATCTTCTAATGCTTTGGCAGATAGCTTGTTTTTATTTTTCATTCTTGAAGGAGGATTATATTACAATACATTTGCTGAACAATAATAGCATTTGCTTCGCAGTTTCGAATATCAGAACTCAAGATGGTCTAATTCCATCTGGCAAGGGGTAGGTTCTTTTCAAGTCTTTGAGATAAGACATAATTAGATTTGTATTAAGTGTTCTGCACAGAAAAGAATTATTTTTTAAATACCGGCATCAGAATTTAATAAAATCCAATCTACTGTATATAGTATATCAACTGAGTCTGTCTTTGCATTGATTATTGGCTTGTTTTTATGACAAAGGCATCTGCAGCTCTTGCAATCAAAAGCACAAGACTGGTGAAAGGAGGCCTTTTCATCTGTCTAGCCAGTAATTTCACTCAAAATCAGAGAGAGAGAGAGATCAGGACCCCATATATTTATTTACTCAGCTAATAGAAAAGCAGTGTGGCCCATGTGTGTGCAAGTTTGAGCAGATAAATCACAGGAAAAGAAGAGCTTCCAGCCCAGTGCTTACATTCTCACCCACCACTGCCTGGGTTAGAAGCAACCTGTCCCTTGGAAGAAACATGCAATTGCACAGGACACCTAGGTTGGCTCTGAATACAGTATTTGACGGTCTAAGAGCTCAACAGCTGTTTTTACAACAGCTTAATTTAAAGTCACCAACTCCTTTTTCTTCTTCCCATAGTGCCACCAGTGATTCGTGTCTATCCTGAAAGCCAGGCACAAGAACCAGGAATATCAGCGAGCCTCAAATGTCATGCGGAGGGCATTCCAAATCCCAAAATGTCCTGGCTAAAAAATGGCATGGCTATCGCACCAAAATTATCCAAGCAGCTCCTTTTTTTAGGTAAGGATAAAAAATGTTGCTTTTATGTATCATTGGCCAGAGTCAAATGGACTTTATTTTTACTAATTCCTTTACTAATGTGTGATTTTATTTCATCCAGACATGACTTTGCCTTTGTGCTATTTGTATAACTTATATTTAGATCTATATTGGTTGGGATGTTAATTTTCTGCACCTCTTTCTTAAATGGTTCTACAGATATTATACATTTCTCTTTTGCTAGAGAATTAAGACAGTGTTCGATTCTTTTTATCCATTATCAATCGGGTGATCCTTTTGCTGACCATTAAATATTAGCAGAGTCAGTAGAGCTATGAGCAATCTGCTTAAGAACAGTAGATGTCTCTACTGGTGGAAGCACCTAGCTGACCTTTTCAGAAGTTAAGGATTTTACTTGGATGGGAAACCTCCAGGAAATACCTGGGATGTAAGCCACACTGGGAAACTGAAAAAAAAAAAATCTGGAAGAATGTAATAGCAAACCACTTGCCTAATGGTACCAAGAAAACTGCATGGACATACCCAGGAGATCAAGCCCAACTGAAAGAAGAGGTTACCTTCATAAGCAGTTGGAAACCAGCGATTTGAAGGAAGAAAGATATGACAAAGCCTTAGGATACTACATTCCAATGTGACTTTTGCTTTGGGTGATTGTGGACAAGCATACTTACCACATTAGATTTTTTTTTGTTATATTGTTGTAAGTTTTGTTTTGTTTTGTTTCACTTAGCTGTACACCACCCAGAAACCTACAGGATTGGGGTGATTTACAAATACAGTGGTACCTCGGGTTACGAACGCCTCTGTTAACGAACTTTTCAGGTTACGACCAGCTCCGGCCGCAAAAAT